CCATAAAAAAACACATAATATAGACACCCCTCATGTTAGGATTTCCTTCAGATTCATGTTGGCACCTGAGTATGATCCGCCCCTCAATACTGTGGACAATCCCCACAGGAGCAATTTGGAGTGAAGTGTCTCAGGGACACAACAACATGCTGACTGCAGTGGGGTTTGAACCTGTGCTCCCCTGATCATAACACCAACGCTCAATGCACTGCACCACACGCCTCCCCTCATTCCTCCAGTTAAATATCCAAATCACCCGGTGCCTGAAGCTGCCTTCAAAAATACTTCTAAAATGAATTTGAATACTGATCAAATTACTTTAGCAATACAATAAGGATTTAACTATAACAAAATACAAATCAATAAACAGCCCGAACATGAGCAATTTCGGAAGACACTGAAGCTAAGGTGGGGTTTTCTTTCATTTCAAAGGCACACTTGTTGCGATACTGTCTTTTTAATCTTAATGAGGCTTTGTGCGGTTAAATACATTTGAGATAAACATTAAAAGAAGAATTAACTCATAGCGTTTGTCACTCTTAAATCATTTTAATTTCCGTATGTCTCCTTTAGGACTGTGCCTGGAGAAGGTCCCGGCCGCCTCTCCGGCTCTGTCCAATCAGAACACTGGGTCTCCAGCGTCCAATAGGAGCGCAACAGACCGGGAGCAGGATATCATCACCTGCTATGAAAAGTCTGGAGACATCGCACTGCTTTACCTGCAGGAGGCTGAGAAGGTGTGTCATGTGATCTTATGTCTTAAATAAGGCCTCTTCTTTTAAGACTGTGGCGTACTTGTTTTCTATTGCAGTGTCGTTATACAAACACTCATAAGATATCCTGTCAGCACCTGGACCCTGCCGTCCCTGTGGGTGTGTGAAACGGAATATTCTGCTGACAGCGTGCACGTTTGACAAATGCGTCAGCCAACTGGCAAACTCACCCCTTCCTGTTGATTTTGGAGAAAGGCAAACAGTTCACTGCAATGAAGGGCAGGAGGCAGACATCAAACCGTCTCAACCTTTTAATGACACTTCATTTCCTGTGAGAAGAATGGTATAAACTCATGGCTTTATACAACGGAAGGTGTCATACTGTAGGTTTATTACATGGTATGATGATATTACCTCAATATACAGTGAATGTGGTTTGGAGGGACAGCATGATTTATAGAGATATTTTAAAGTATTTTAGTTATATTAAGTTAGGATAGTGTTATAACTAATCATTTTATTTATAATATACCAAATAATAGAAAATCACAAATTCTTACAAGTAAAAGTTCAAATGTCCAAAAACGCAAAAATACTCTGTTAATTATCATAAAGAAAGTCATAGACAATCATTTCAAAATGGCTTGGCCGATTTGGAGCATTTTGGAGTGGTTTTGGGGGAAGTTGAGGATGAGGAGTCCATTCCTGACATTATCAGGATCAAAAATGGCAGTTTTAACCAGAAAATGACAAATCTCTTTGCACTGATTAGATTAATTTAGGGTCTCTGGATCATTTGGATTGGACAGATTACACCATTTGCCATTGTTGATCCTGAAAATGTCAGAAATGGACTCAATAACCTCCAAAACCACTCTAAAATGTTCCAATTCCCCCAGGTCATTTTTTAAATATTTCTAACATATGCTATAATTCCTTTCGTTTTAATGAACAAATTGTCCAACTTATGCAAGTTTGCATCCAGCAGTTTCTATGTGCTTGGGGCCCGTTACATACATTTTGGGTTCACTCTGCTGCAACTAGACTGTAGGGTTTTCCTCTGAGAATAAACTTTCCAAGATTAATATACAAAAAGACAATCTGTTATTTAAATAAACATATATCTGGTACACTGAAAAATATATTTTTTATGAAATTAGGTTTTCCTTATTGATATACAATGACATTTAGAAGCAGTATTTTACATATCATTAATATACTTTCAGCTGCCTTGCATTTTGTGTTAACTTCTTCTTATTATTTTTCCCCCCTGTGTGTTTCTGCAGGCGTTGTCAGCAGGAATTCAGAACCGCAGCCCGAAGCCCGGCCCGACCGCCCAGGACCTGGAACTGGGCTACTTCCTGGAGACGGGCCTGCAGAGGGCACACGTCATCCACTTCAAGAACGGGTAAGAAAGGGAAACGGGTGGAGGACAAATCAATACAGGAGACATCTGAGAGAATCACTAAACAGTTTTGAAAAGGTATGAGTTGCCCAAAACAAATACCAACTCTCTGTGAACACATCCCACCCACTTTGTAGGTGTCGTGTTAAAAGCAGCTGACAGGTTGATAATGGCAGAAAAGTGTGAACACGGTTAAATAACAAACGCAGTGCAGCAGAAAGTCGTCCCCACAGTGTTGTTGTTTACAGCACAGCAGCAGGTTGGAGGGAATCTGAAAAGTGTCTTCTCAGTGCTGGCTCATTGGCTTTGCTATTACTTCAGTATTAAGTGAAGGCACTTCAATTAAAGACAGTGGCTGCTTCTCAATGTCAAGGAAGGATCCTTCAGAGCCTCTATTTCAAGGATGCTACGTCATCGAATCCCGCCGAAGGACTGTTCCAATGTACTGGATCCTTGGAATTCTACCGAGGACTTCGTTGCAGAACATTTCAAGGCTGCTCATGTGTATCCTCGGTGGTCTTAAATTACCCACAATTCTTTGCGCACGGACCAATTTCCACGTTGTGGCATTAATAATGCAGTAATTGGAATTCTACAGTAATGATGGCCCTGCACAACTTCAAGAATAGAAGGCAGTTTCTGTTTACTTGACATTTGTTCATTGTTAATGTTTTTTTTTTTTAAATCTGCAATTTGCTTGTGTGTGTGTTTACATTATTAAAAATACAATTTAAATGTGATTACACATTTTCTGTTCATCGATAAGTGTTAGAACTAGGGATGTCCCGATCACCTTTTTTTGCTCCTGATCCGATTCCGATCATTTGATTTTGACAATTTGCCGATACCGATTTTTCCCGATCCGATCTTTATGCAATGCATTAAGAGGAAAAAAAGCATTCAAGTTATCCCTTAAGGTTATTTTTTTATTTAAATTGGATATTCTATCCAACATGGATATAGCTTCTTTTTTCACAGCAGCATTAGATCAGTTCAGTTGTGCAGCATTGGATCAAAACAAAATAAAGCTTATCAGTACTCGTTAGCTTACTGCTACAATTAGACACTGCGCCCTGCCCACTCTGTTGCCAGATTTGAGAGAAATAAGCAACCAGGTCTATGAAAACAAGCCCCAAAGAAGCAACACATACATGATGTTGTGTAATTTGAAACCAAAACTAAGGCCTCAGGATGACTTTAAGACTTGAACATGGTCATTTTTGTTTTGTAACATTGAATAAAAAAAATAAAATAAAGTATTTATATAAAAAAAAAAAAAATTTAAAAAAAAATCCCGATCCCCGATGTTTTTCTCCCGATTCCAATCTTTTGAAAATCACGTGATCGGCTCCGATCCCCGATCACGTGATCGGATTGGGACATCTAGTTAGAACGACTACAAACTATATATGCAAAATTGAAACAGAAGTAAAGTGTTGCTTGATTATTGTGCGGGAAGCAGGAAATAGAGGGAATAGAAAGGGGTGTCTACCAAGGGGGATTCAAACCATCAGGACAACTCGCAAACTAACTATGGAGTCATTATGGATGCTTCATTTACTTGATTTACATTAGAGAATAAAAGTCGTACGGAAGGCAAGCGGGAAGACTTAATTAACTAGAACATCCTCCTCCTCCGAGCAGACAGACGCCGACGATACTCCCGCTCTATCTCTTCCTCCATCTCAACAAATTAATGGATAAAAGACAACGACAGGTCTCCCTTGTAAATGAGATCGATGATCTCAAGGGACCAATCTGTCTAAATAAAGGTTTGAAATGAAATGAAACGACAAAAACGTGTCCATTTTCAATCTTCGCAAATCAGTTATGAGTCTTCAAACAAATCACGCTCAATAAGGCGGGGCCTGACGCACACCTGCACACCTGCTAGCCTGTTCTTCGTTCTCCGAATGCTAGGAAGGATTCTTGCCTAGCCTCTGAAGGACCTGACTCAGAAGGACATGTCCTACCAAGGAAGTGTCCTCAACTTTGAGAAACGGCTAGTGAAGCTGTTTCTTATTCATTCACCTGAAATTAAATTCAGTTAAAACAAACCCTAACCCTAACAAAGAAAACAAATCACATCATTTCTGACCATGACACATTAAAGATTTTGTTTTCATTGGAAGCTGCCGGCATGCAAAATGTGCACAGCATCAACATTTAAAAAATATAAACAATCTTAAATTTAAAAAAAGATATATACATCTGTATTTAGATCTCTTTGAATTGTTGGTGTGATAAACACTTTACTGTTTGTTGATTGTTATTTGTGTACCTGCCCAAGGACTGCAGATGGTATACAGCATCATTTCTGTCTTTGAGACTAATGTATCGTTATGCATAGTGCTTGTTCAGACAGATGGTACGTTATACCCTGATTCACACATTGATAGATGTCCCTTCACACATACAAGCACGACAGACTCTAATAAGTGTCCTTCTTCCTGTTTCTCCTCACTATGTTGCCATAGCAACCTGACACGAGGCGTGGGCCGTTTTCGGGAGATTCTCCGAGCTGTGGAGAACAGAACCACCCAGAGCCTGCGCATGGTGAGGGGGGGCTTTTCATTTAGTTTTTATTCAAGGAGAATCTTCTTTGACAAGTCTGTTAGAAAGTAAACTGTGAACATTTCAGCATTAAAATGTACAAAGACCTACGGTTGGCTCGCTTGGCTGTATATTTATATCCAAAAGTTCCTTACATATTTGAAACCTAGATCTAAGTCTTTCATTTCAATCAATTTATGTTGAGTTTTTTTCGGTTAATGTTTGTTGTTTGTCATGTTTGAGCATACGTCAGCTTACAATTGGCTGACATAAATGTATTTCTTAAACAGATCAAGCCACAGATTTGCAATACGATATTTTGATCTTGATCGTTTTTAATTCCATATTTACAACATATCAAAGGTAATACCAATGGGACTTGATTTTAGGTCATTTGAGAAGCCAAGCTAACGTTAGCGGCATCCAAACAGTGTTGTCTTTGTCGGTCCATTTGTTTTGGAGAGGAGGAAACCTAACCAGGAGAAGCTGACTGCATGAGAAACTCCCAGGATCCATCGCTGCTTCACTTACAGGCCACCAGACCCCATCTTTTGTTCTTGTTTTTATTTAGAGATCCATAGTGGCAAAATAATGACCTCTTCTTCTGTCTTTGAAGTAGACAGTATACAGTGATCCCCGAGTAAACAGACTGCTGCTGTGTTCCTACCAGAGTGCCTTTTTTTCCTAATGTGCATGTATGTGTTTCAGACTATAGCCAGACAGCTAGCAGAGATCCTGCTCAGAGGGATGTGTGAACAGAGTTACTGGTCTCCTCTGGAAGACCCGCCCACCGTGTCGCCATTGGACGACCCCACACGGCAGGGACACACCATCAGCAAGAACTACAGCCTGAGCCGACGCGCCCGGGTCTACTCGGGAGAGAAGTAAGGGATAATGTGTGGAAAACTGTGGGAAACAACCCTAATGAATCCAAACGAGTTGTCCATCTTTTTCTTTCCTTAATTGTCTTTTGTCTTTCCTCTCAGTCTGTTCTGCCCTCAGGAGAACACAGAGGAGGCTCTGCTGCTGCTGCTGATCAGCGAGTCCATGGTAAGTCACACCAGAGTACATTTACTCAAGTATTTTACTTAAGTTCCAATTTGAGGTACTTCTACTTTGATGGGTAGTTTTCTTTAATGCCACTTTAGACTTCTACTCAACTACAATTCAAAGGGAAATACTTTAGTCAACTAAATTTATCTTAAAGCCTCAGTTATTCGTTACTCTATGTATTCTGATTTCTTAAAATACAAATACGAAATGTATAAATAAATCAAATTAGCCAGCCCTATTCAAGAACACCTCGACAAAAAGACGATTTAATAAATTAGAAGATTAAAACAATAATATTTTGCACCTGTACACATTTAAGTCTTTTTTGTTTAATTAGAATAATTTTGAGTTTTTTTGTGCCCTTTTTTCAATTTTATTTAAATGTTTTCCGCATTGGGTAATTTTAAATTAAATACTTAAAAAATAAATATATTACTACTTTTTTATTTGTAATACAGTATTTTTACAGTGTGGTATCAGTACTTGTACTTAAGTTAAAGATCTGAATACTTTCTCCAACACTATTCAGACTGGAAATAGTTGGAAATAATATTCCTTTCACCTCGTTAAACCATGTTCCATTTCTAAATCTTTGTATTTGTGTGTGTGTGTTTCAGGCTAACCGGGACGCCGTCCTCAGCAGGATCCCTGAACACAACAATGATCGCATCATCAGCCTGCAGTCGGCCTCGGTGGTGTACGACCTGCTGACAATCGCTCTGGGCAGGAGGGGGCAGTACGAGATGCTGTCAGAGGTGAGCCGTCCCTCTGTGGTGATAGAGAACGTGCTAAAGCCCAATCCCATAATAATATACCCACATTAAAACACCCTAAATCTCCTTTTGGTCCATTCCTCAAACAAATAATGTTTTATTACAATCCAATTGAGAGGTTTCCTGTTTCTGCAGTGTCTGGAGAGAGCCATGAAGTTTGCCTTCGAGGAGTTCCACCTGTGGTACCAGCTCGCTCTGTCGCTAATGGCTGCTGGGAAATCAGCGCGGGCCGTTAAAGTCCTGAAGGAGTGCATCCGTCTGAAGCCCGACGACCCCACCATCCCACTGCTGGCTGTCAAGCTGTGTATCGGACCCCTACACTGGGTAAGGACCCTCCTGCACACTTGAACCCACATGTTCTACACATCTTTGGTGAAGTTTTCTCAAGCTACCATGCTGATATTATAGTTTTGAATATTTATTTTCAGCAGTTCTAATTGTTCTTACATTTTGAATTTTCTTTTACATTTTTAGATTAGTTTTTAGTTAGTTTACAGAGTGTTTCTGCTAGTCTTATTTTCTTCAGAAAGGTTTAGTATTAATATATATTCAGTTTTCTTTGGGCCAGGTAGAATATCTCGATATCTATACATTCAAATGAATGGTGTCAAAATGGCCATACATTTTATTCTTTAATCAATTCTCTTTTATTACCAGCCACAACTGTTTATTTTATCAGATACATTTATCTTAAAGCTTGAGTTACTTGTTACTTTAATAATTCTGATTTATTCAGAAAAATCTCAAATAAGATTTTATTTTTTGTGAAGAATTGTGTCACCATGTTGAATCATTGTGCTGCCTTAGTGTCCAATGTAAAGCAACTGCGGCATATTGAGCTCTCCTTCAATACAGACCTCGATCTTCATCTTCACTTCACGCGCTTCGAGATTTGTCTTGGCAGATGAGAAGCGCTATATAAATTTAATTTATTATTAATTTATTATAAAATGTGTAGTCTTTCATTACAAGACAATATTGTTTATGTTTACTCACAATGTTTGTTGTCATTGTATAATATACCACGTTTAGTTAATATGTTAGCTTACCCTAAACACCTTTATAATAATCAAATCTTTCTCCATTCCTTCTCTCCTTATATATCTATCTTCTCCCATAATGCAGCTGGATGACGGGGAGTGCTTTGCCAACATTGTGATTGACATGGGGGAGAAAGCAGCAGAGTTCAGAGCCAAAGGCTACCTGGCCATCGGGCTGGTGTACAGCCTGAAAGCCACTGACGGTACGTCTCTGTGGGTTTATGACACCTTACTTAAAGATAGTGTCATTGTGAATGATAACAACAAGTAAAGCAAGCAAGGCTGTCTTGCATTGAAATCTTTTGTTGAGGTAAACCTAGCTAGGATTTTCTGTTGTCATATTTTATGATGTCCGCCCCCTAAAATAATCATTTTATTCAAAATAGGGATTATTAGATTAGGTGATTTAGTCTTTTTTTTGCTACAACCCTTAAGGAAGTCTCATATCTCATGTAAAAAATAAAACACACGCGATAGAGCCTGCCTCCATTTTTGTTTCTTGTTCTCTATAAAATGCTTCCACATATACACATCAAGACATCCAATGCTACAATATAAATGGTCATAAGACTGTCGCACTTGTATTACTGTATACACCTTCCTGCCTGCATCCTGCCTCCTCTTCCTCTCCCTGACTCTGTGCCTCTGCCCCCCCTCAGCCTCGTTGCGGAGCACGCAGGAGGAGTACCAGAGGAAAGCTTTGGGAGCCTTCCAGAGGTTGGGCCTGAGCCACGCTGCGCTCTCTTTTCTCTTTCACTCCCACACCTCCCTCAGAAGGACGCTGTTGCAGCACTAACTGCTGCTCAGCCGAAAAGAACGCAACCTGTTATTTGTTATTTAAACCCTATGTCTGTCATCTGTGTACACACTATATATGTGTATACTGTCCTTCCATAAACATGTCCTCAAGTGGAAGGAAACACACGCATAGCTCAAACACAGAGGCTATTTTAACACATGTGATACATTCTACTGAAGAGTGATAATAATATCTAATAATAAGGTAAAAAATTATTTAATATATATACTCGAGTGGTGAAATGTATCAAAGTACATTTATGCAAGTTTTGCTCTAAAGTAGAATTTGATCCAGTTTTATGGTGGCCAACTGGTGAAAACGCCCTACAAAAACCCAAAACATCTCAGATAGGAGAAATGCTCTGCAGCTCAGAAGCGATGTAAATATAAAACCAAAAAGGTGCCGACACATCTTTACCAGTTTGACAACACATGCACTGGCACATTTGCGTTTTTAAAATTGCAATTGGTCCAACATGACAAAGCACTATATCAAAATGACATGATATTATTATTATTATATGCATTTGTTGCTGATACAAAAACAAATATTAGTATTTTATAATATTGTGAAAAGAGCAATTCTGCTTACTGAGTACATTTACTTTTGATATTTGAAGTACATTTTGCTGATAAAGCTTGTATTATTCTGCTCATTACTTTTACTTGTAATGTGGTATTTTAAGACCATATTGTTTCTACTTTTACTTAAGTATAGGATCTGAGTACTAAGCAGAATGTGCTTTTTTTTATCACATTTGTATTATGCTGCAATACAACATCTATGGTTCTATAGTGGGTAATTCTGCTGATTTGATGGCGTGAGAGTTTCTAACTGAGTCTTACATTTGAAGATATCCCTCGGTTTGGTTTTCTAAACCAATCTATTGTTATGCAATGTTTGCTACTTTTTATAATGTTCTGCTACTGCAGCAACCCAATTTCCCCCCCGCAGATATTTTTAACGTTTCATATCTTTAACTTATTAATTCAGCACGTATGAACACACAACACCTCTCTCTTTCTCTAGAGCTCAGAGTCTGTCTCCCACTGACCATCTCGCAGCCTTCTACCTGGCGCTGCAGCTCGCCGTCTCCAGACAGGTAACGCCCTCTCATGTGGTGTCAACAGAAGTCAGAAAATGACATTCCTGTCAATTCACAAAGTGTTTTTCTACCCCAACTGTAGTTCCAACCTGTAGTCTGTATATATATATGTGTGTGTGTGTGTGTGTGTGTGTGTGTAGATCCCAGAGGCTCTAGGCTACGTCCGACAGGCGCTGCAGCTCCAGGGCGATGACGTCCACTCCCTCCACCTGCTCGCCCTGCTGCTCTCCGCTCAGAAACACTACCACGACGCGCTCAATATCATAGAGATGGCTCTGTCCGAGTACCCCGAGAACTTCAAGTGAGACGCACACACTTACCGCAACACATTAAAGTGTCTTTTTTCTGTGGCTGCTCTCTGATTGTGTGTGTATTGTAGTCTGCTGTACACCAAGGTGAAGCTGGAGTCCATGTGTAGAGGACCGGAGGAAGCTCTGCTCACCTGTAAACACATGCTGCAGATCTGGAAGAGCTTTTACAACCTCACTAACCCCAGGTAAACACACACACACACACACACACACACACACACACACACACACACACACACACACACACACACACACACACACACACACACACACACCCTCAATGCAAATTCCAGTCCTGACATTTGTTTTGCTTTCATTCATTCAGTAGCTATTAACCATATTGGGTTTGCTCCAAAAAAATGTAAAGGATGTCTTTGAGGGTGAAGACTGAATTTATAATTTATAAAGCTCTGCAGATTCTTTGTGAATGTAGACAAGGAGGCAAATGGTTGCAAAATGATATTTTCACAATGTTGTAAAAGATTATTTATTATTTCAAATATGTCGTTGAAATCTCACAACAGCAGCATATTATTAGCAAACATAATTTGGCCTATGCTTAAAAAAAACATTTAATTTACCTTTAATTTCAGAATGTGTCTCTGTTCTGTATGTGGCACTTACATTGGTTGGGATTAAGGATAGCTAAATATTAATATAATAATAATAATAATAGCATCAGCTAAATAAAAAATAGCATCAGCTAAATAAAATGTAACGTAATATACCATAGCATTTATGATAGTATGACTGTTACCCTCAAATCCTTGTAAATAAATAAATATTTGTACTGCTTATTATTGTATGCACCGTTAAAAAATATTTATATTTCTAAGATGCCCTACCTACGGCTTGGGGATATCGAGGAAATCAAATATCCCAATATTTCTTATCTAATACCTCCTAAATCGATTTTACAATGATACTTTAGGGTTGACTATCTGTGATTTCACAAAATATTTAAACAAGGATTTTTGACAAAAAAATATTAGGTACAGTATGTGGGTAAGAGCAACTAATGGCAACAACCAGAACAGTAACGCGAGTTAAGAAACACAGCTCTGATGACATCACTTTATTGTAATGCAGATTTTACAAACAAGGAAAAGACACTTGAAGATACCATAATGTTGGACATTATCTAATCTATAGCCGAGCTATAGCCCTACCTATAGTTGAACTTGCAAAGAACTCAATTGCTTATCAACCCAGGTGTGTGTACACGTGTGTGTAACCTCATGTTCCTGATGCAGTGATTCGGGCCGTGGCAGCAGTCTTCTGGACAGAGCCATAGCAGACAGACGGCAGCTCAACGCCATGACCCTGCCTGACTTCAGCGACCTAGACACAGGTAGACGCACACACATACACACACTTAATAAACACACACATACACACACTCACAGGTGACCTCAAGACTTCCCCAATGAAAAAATTCCAGTTGTGAACAGTTCATTCATCTTTTTTGTAGTTTTATTTGATGATATAATCATAAAAATTGAATTAAAGAGGTCCTTCATGTTATTATATGTATCACCTTTTTCTCATGTTTACTTAGTATATCAAAGGAAAACATTTCCTGCTCTTGGTTTAATTGATTGCCTCTTCAGTAACGTTATTTTTATTCTTATTTTTTAGCTTATCTTTGATAATTCCGACTACGACACCAGTTTTCTCAAGAATTATTATTAATTGAACTCTGTTTTTATTTCCTTTCTTTTTTGTAGTCTCAGGTTCTTCTTCATCCCACTGTAGTTGTGAACCCGTCTCCCCCACTTCCCCTTCCACCATTTCCACACTCTCCTCCCCTCTGTCCTCCCCCACTTCCCCTTCCACCATTTCCACACTCTCCTCCCCTCTGTCCTCCCCCACTTCCCCTGTCTTCATCCTCCAGCCTCCTCCTTTCCCACACAGAAACGTATCCTTCCTCCCTCCTGCTGGCCCTTTACCTCCTCATCCTCCTCCTCCTCATCTTCCTCCTCCCCATCTTCCTCCTCCTCCTCTTCCTCCTGCGCCCACCAAGGACAGGACTCACTCCTTTTGCAACCACATCAACCTCCGTCAGCTCTCCAATTGTAATCCCCCTCTGCGTCCACTCTGCCTGTAGCATGGTGTGGAGAGTGACCTAAAAGAAAACCTTTGGGGTGATCGGCTTTTTAATGAACTTGTGTGTTCCACGCTGGTTCTCCACAGTATGTTGATATACGTAGAGGATCTGCGGCTCACGACATTGTCAAAGTTGAGCAACTGTCGAATGATCTTACTGATGTTGCTGATGTATGGAAGCCCTGAGAGGCAAAACAAATATTATGATGATCGTTTTCTGACTAATCTTAAATCAGTTAATTGTATCCCTAATCTTCTCGCTCAGTGCTCCTCCGTATTTATGATGTTTTTATTAAAAAAATATTATTTTACATTATTAAATTCCTCACTACACTGAAGAGGAAAGTACCATCTTTGTATAAGTGTATCTTATCATATAATAGCTTACATTCTTTGTTGCTATTCAACAGTGAGAATATATATATGTTTTTTCATATATAAGTTTATTATGAAATGATAGCTACCTCGCAGAGTATTTCCGGATATTAGAAAACAAATTGCAATAACCCACACCGTAATCTGCCCGACAGCCATGAGGACAAGTCTATAACTAAACTGACTAACCGTTAATACTGGATGTGCTTCAGCTTCACAGGTAGTTTTCAGTCGTGCTGTGAATCTCTGCATGTTAACATGGAAAACAAAAGCTTGAGCTTTGATGCTGCTGTAGTTTTGTGTTTTTTCGGCTTACTCTACTTACTGCTTAGGTCTCAGGTGAACTTACAAACTTTAGTTTATCGCCACACCATTACGTTCCACATAGGAAACAAAGATTGTCGCTTTAAATGAACACAAGGATACTGAAATCCGTTGAGTTCTCTTTTCATTGTGGATATACAAAATAGTTTTACATACCGCTTTACTGTCTCTTCACATCTATCTACTTCTCCCCTGGATATGTGTCTCTTGTTTGTGTTCATTTTCTGCATCCTCCTCCTTTCTCTTTCTATTTCTGTGAGGATATTACATTTGAGCCAACATCAATTTGTCTTGTTTCCAACCTTATGTTGTTATGTTATCTCTTATACTGATGATGTTTGGACTGAAAATATTGGTTGTAATAAAATAGGGAGGTGTGTGGCGCAGTGGATTAGTGCGTTGGTGTTCGGATCAGGGGAGCACAGGTTCAAACCCCACTGCAGTCAGCATGTCGTTGTGTCCCTGAGACACTTTACCCCAAATTGCTCCTGTGGGGATTGTCCACAGTATTGAGTATGTTAGTCGCTTTGGATAAAAGCGTCTAAAAAGTGACATGTAATGTAATTGGCTCCAGAGCTTGATTTTTTTTCAGTCAGCAAGACGATAATTACATTATTTAAAATCACAATAATTGAAATGACTGAAAATTGGACCAAATTATTTTGTTATTGTATTAGTATACTACTTTGAAAGTGCATTGTTAGTCATATAAAAAGTATAGTTACTCTGCACTACCTCATTTTGAGATATCATAAACCTAAGAAAATTTGAGTCAAAGAATCCTCTTTTGACACTACATCACTATGTAACACTGGCGCTTCTATTGGCTAGCGCTCCAACACATTGTACGTGATACAATGTCATTGCGGGTGATCTCTAAGCGGTTGACCAATCACAACAGAGCCGACCAGCTAACCAATCAGAGCAGACTGGACTCTGGTCCAGAGTCCAGTCTGCTCTGATTGGTTAGCTGGTCGGCTCTGTTGTGATTGGTCAACCGCTTAGAGATCACCCGCAATGACATTGTATCACGTACAATGNCTACAACTACTGTCACAAACTGGATGAATGTGAAGTATTTTGTTAAAGGAGGATGAAAGCGTAATTAAGGAGTTTAAAACACATGCTCAAAGTAAGCCGGATTTTGCCGATGTGTTTATGTGGATTCAAAAATCGTAAATAATCTACAAAATGGAGGAGACCGATCTGATCGGAGAAACTGTTGACAAATAATCCAACTGAAACCGGCATGGACAATGACTATGTTTTAAAAATGCGCTTATCCAGACAAGCCTGGTTTGGACACTTTATGGGCAGAAGAAACATTTCTTTTAAAGAAAGAATTATACATTTCTGTCTTTTTATGCCTTTAATAACTTGAATTTTTATTAAAATTAATTAATCAATTATTTTTTATATTTGATTGTAATGTACAGTAGAGACAAGGCTTTTAGTGACAATCATGTATTGCATTACAATTATATGTAAAAAAAAAAAAAAAGTCTAAATATGATATTTGACTTATTTTATTTTTGTTGTTCATTCATATCTTATTTTACCTAGTTAACATTTATTTATTCATGCATATTTTTGTATCTCTCCAACTTTAAACGATATTTTTGGTCCAGTATACATTGGAATGATTTCAAACCTGTTTTATTTATCCTAATAATTATAAAGGAGTGCCTTGGAAATATGTGTTTACATAATTTGTGGTCAAAACGTTTGAGACCCACTGAGATAACTTAGACTAAAATTAACTATCTAAATACTCAGAGAGTCCTTTACCTCACTGAGCCTCTCAGTCTGACAGGAGAGTTCTCCTCCACCCTGGTTGTAGAAACATCTACTTCTTATATCCGTTAGCGCAGCTAGCACCAGATTCTAATAACAACAGCGCCGGTACCGGTGCGCCCTCTCTCTCTCTCCCTCTCTCTCTCTCGCTCTCACGCTCGCACTTTCGCTGTGAGCGCCTGATAAGCCAACATCCCCCACTTTCATCACTTACAGCGCCCATCGCACAGGGCAAATGAAAAGTGTAACCGGGGTGAAAAGGGTGTTACATTTACTCAATTATGAATGTTGTTACATCAAGGCCAAAAATTAGGATGAGCGCCAACGGTCAAAAATGTTTTTTCCCCTCCCAGAGCTACCAGCGCAGCGCCCCCCAGATCTGGCGCACTAGGCGACCGCCCTATGCCAAAAATAGGCCCTGCCTAGTACATAAAGTGGCAATGTCTCAAGATTTAGCAAAAATACACCTTTATTGAACATACAGTAACACAAATACTACAACTCCACATAACAAACAATCAAAAATGAAAAAGGGTCGCCACTTATTATTATTTTAATTAAAAAAAAAAAAAAGGAAAAAAACAAACAAATTATTATAATTTTTTTGGGTACCTGGCTGGCGCCCCTTAGCAGCGGCGTGCATATTTCAGCAGCGGCGCTGCACCGCCGCTATTTGTATATAGGGGATACACTGGTGTGTGTGTGTGTGTGTGTGTGTGTGTGTGTGTGTATGTGTGTGTGTTTGTGTGAGTTACCAGTCTCTGCATGGTCTTGACGTGTGTTGGGTTGATGGACAGCGACTCTTCGTACCAGCGCTTGGCCTCCTCGATGTTCCCCCGGAGCTCTGCGATCTGCCCCCTCATGTACAGTACATTATGGGACGTGGGGAAGAGGTTGGAGGCTTCCTGTGTGCAGGCCGAGGCTTCAGCCGGCTTCGACATGCCGGTGTACACCTCCGCTGTAAGAGAGGGGGGAGGGGGGGGTCCAAACATCAGAGAATATTTCCCGTTTCTAAAGTGTGAGATTTGCAGCCTTCTTAACATCAGTGTATTTGAGTAAAATCCACAAATAGCACGATACTGTTCCACACATCAAGAGGAGGAGAAACAGGGGGAGGAGAGACAGGAGGAGGAGAGAAGGAAAGATGAGAGGAGAGGGGTATTATTGGAGGATTGATCAAGAGAGGAAAGGAGAGAAAATGAAAGAGGAGAAGGGAGGGAATAAAAGAAGAGGAAACAGGAGATGAGCTGGAAAAGGAAGCAGGGGAGGATAGAGGAAAAGTAAAACAAAAGAATGAAAGAGGAGAGGGGGTGTAAGGGGAGAAGGAAAGAGGAGATGAGCCATTAGGAGAGGTGAGAGGACAGGTCGATAATCGGAGGGGGAAGGAGAGATTAGGAGAGGAAGGAGCTTAAAAAAAGACGAAAAGGGAAGGAAATAAGAGAAGAGGAAATGAGGTATGAGAGACGGGAGGAGATGCGGATCAAAAGAAGAGGAAAGGTTAATGAGAACTAAAAAAGGAAGCAGGGGGAGGATAGGGGAGACAAATGTAAAGAGTAGGCAGGACAGTAATAGGATGGAAGGAAAGTAGATAAGAAGAAACGGATAGTAAAAAAGATGGGAGAAGAGGAAAAGGGAGGTGATGAAAGCAACACAAAAGAAAGCAGGTGGAGGATAAAGGCAAATAGGAAGCAGGAAAACATCAAGAGATGAGAGGAGGAAGTGGGGAGAAAAGGAGAGGGATTGAAAAACGAGGGGTGGGTAGTCAGCAGGAAGGAGAGGAATAAAGAAGAGAAGAAGAGAGGAGGAGGAACTATTTCAAACATGAGTGCAAGGGCGCTGTATACTTACTGAACAAATAGATAGCAGTCGATATAATCACCATCTCGTCAAAGCAAGACTGCAATTCCCATAAATGCTGATATTGTGCGGCAAAACGTGAAAGTGCTCCATCTCAAGTTACATTTTGAAACCTCTCAAACTGAAATTATGCATTTAAAAATAAAAGCCACAAACAGACAGCTTAGTGTAATAATCGTGATGACACATTCGCAAAAGAACGAAGCTACATTTTTAATAATGTTTCAGCATCAAGGTGGTCTAATGCACCGTGCGCAGAACCACAGACCAACCAGAGGAGGGGACGGAGGGAGGAGATGACTTCTAACCGTCTGTTCGTCTGGCCTGTGATTGGATGATTGTATTAGCGGTGTCGCCAGGCTGGAAATGACCACCTCTGACAGGAAGCGGCGGGAGAGATAAACAGTGTGTGTGTGTGTGTGTGTGTGTGTGTGTGTGTGTGTGTGTTTGTTTATTATACTCTTCAGACTGCCTATGTATGCGTCTGCTGGGGAGGCAGACATGAGAATGGGGTGTACTCTAAAAGTGATTTAATCTGCCTACGCCCTACGAGCTGATGTCAGTACTAAAAGACAATCATACGGAGAACTAGCAGACAGACTGTTTGTGTTGTTGTGTAAAACCAAGGGCGTAGTTTGGCATTTGGACGGTCCCTTTCAGTATTTTAGAGGACAGAATTGTCCCTACCATTATTGGAGCAAAATAATTTCTGTATTATCTTTGGTGCTTAAGTCATAATAGATCATTCGCATGTGCTCTTCCGGAGGTTTCGTCTTTATTACTGCCTAAATGACAAAATGTTGTTATCGCAGATAACATCAAAATTATGGTGGCCAACTTGTGCGCTACAACAGCCCAATACACTTTCATTAGGTGAAACGCACCACAGCTTAAAAAACTATGCAAATTTAAAAACAAAACATTTGCCAAAACACATGCAAATTAAGAAACATCTTCACCTACTTGACAACACATGCGCAGCATTTAGGAAACACTAACCAAATGCACTGCATGAACGAAACACTGCAAATACAAAACGCTACAAGAAGCTTAAACACGTGTTGTCAAGTTGGGGAAGGTGTATTTTTATATTTGCATCGTTTTTTAAGCTGGGGCTGCGTTTCTCCTGATGGAAATGTTTTGGACCGACACAAACATGTACACACTTGCCAAGCACTTGAACATCTGTTGCACTTCCATGCGTGTAGCGGCCTGTTGGTTTGCCTACATACCTGCGTGCAGCCAGATCTGAGCCAGGGTCATCCAGGGGTGCATGGGTCCGTGTTTGGGGGCACTGCTCTGCATGGAGGAGGCCACCTCGGACAGAGCCTGCTCTACGCGACTGGCTGCTATAGACGTAGCATGAACTGAGCCTGGAGGGAGGAAATCCAAACATTATACACCATCATCTCCTGCAGGTACTGACTAACTACTGCAGCACACAGCAGCTTTTAATTCTACCAAACAATATCAGATTTCCCAGAAACAGGAAGTGAAATCTGGAGTGTTTGGGTAAAGCTCACAACTCTAGGCTTGCAGCTTCCTGTTCGAGCTCTAAAGCCTTCAATCAGTCCACACCATTCCACACGCTGCAACACACAGTGTTATGGCCCCTGGATTAACCAGGTTTAAATTGATTAATTTCTGTACAGCCATGCATAAACACCGCATCAACCTGCACTCAGCTGATTAGTAAGTGCATCTCACATTTTGTCTCTGCAATTGGATTACATTATAACAGGGAGGCAAAATGGCCACCACACGGGACTGCAGGAGCACACTGCAGATCTGCGAAAGCAAAACATAATACGTCTTCTGGTGTAATATTTGATCATATCCTGCTTTTACACAAAACAAATGTAGTTAAAATGACCATTTATGGGTTTTCTAATTCGTACGTTAACCAAAATAATGTCAAAATGTCTTAAAAAGGTATATTTTTATCCATGACTCTGATCTATTTGACTGAAAATGTATGAATAAATCCACTTTGATCTGAACTTTTATGAAACATTTCTTCATTTGCATGTGTTTTGGCACTATTGTGTGCTTTTTTATTTGCAGAGTTGTTGAAACTTCAGGGCATTTCTCCTAATGAAAATGTTTTGGGCAGTTGTTGCTTTTTTGCACTTGTTGGCCACCGTAGAATAGGATAAAAACGTCTTTTTTTAATACATTGCATTGATAAATATTAACTGAACATTGATGACTAAATCCACTACGATCCGTTCTCTGTGTGCAAATTAGATTTTGTTACATTTTGAGAACTATACAACCTTTATAATTTGAACATTTTAAATCGTTTTGTTCCTTTCAATAAATGCTGTAAAATACAGACACTGATTATGCTTTACATTTGTAAAAATGCTACTGCTAGTCTAATGTGGTAGATGACCTTTTTGGTTTTTAAGTCACGTCATTTGCAGCCTGCAGTGATTATATAACTATATAAATATGCACCTTTTATACCTTGAACATGGACTAAAATAAAAATGGCGAATGGTCGAAGCTCGCCAAAATAAAAGCTTTACTTTAATAAAACATCTCCCATCCTCTTCTCCTATTATTCTGTTCTCTATGGTCCAAAATACTCTTTCAACTACAATGACATGAGCTGTGTGTTGGGGTGCTAAGGGACAGGAAGTAACCATGTGTAAAAGACAAGTGAGACGAGGATAAAATGTGAAGATTTGAAAATGAAAGCTGTGTGTGTGTTTGTTTGTTAGAGAGAGAGCAAAGAACGGAAGTGTGTTATTTTTGTGCTTTAAAAGTGTCTTTAAAAAATGGATGTCCATCTCTCTCACACATACACACAACAGCATTTAAAGGTCACCTATTATGCAAAATGCACGTTTTGATATCTTTTATACGTACATATGTGTCCCTGGTGTGTAAGGAGACTCACAAAGTGTCAGAAAATACAACCCTCTCTCTTTTCCTCCTTACCCACATCTTTAAATATGTGGGTGAGAACTTGACATCATTACTGAAATGTGGGCTGGCTTTACATTGAACTCCTGGCAACGTCCGGCCCACGGCCCAACCTATCGTTCCCATATACAGTCGGCTAGCTGAATCCCCTCCTGCAGCTGTGTGTCTGTGTATTAAGCAGGATGTATGCAGGAGGCACTTAGAGTAAAGTTGTTATATATATATATATAATACATATAATGTCACTGTTCTAGCGATAAACATGTCAAGCTTTGTGCTGTATCAGAAAATATGCACAATGTGTTTTAGAAGTAATATAGTTTGTGTTTAGCAAGCATCGCTAACACTCAGAGCAAACTCTGTACTGGAGAGAATATGCGTAAAGAAGCCGGATATAAAAAGTACTGTCGTTATGGTCAACCGGTGAGAGAGAAAACGTTTGAGCTCCATACTGTTTCAGAAATAATGCTTGATGTGGTTTGGAACATAATACGGCGTTTAATAACGGCAGCGTTTAGCTGAGTCTTTGCTGGTAGAGAGTCTACTCTTCTTCACAGAGCTCACTGCTTGCATGTGGAGCTCCAAAGGGGCGTGGCCACCAGCAGCTCGGTTACATTTAAAGGGCCAGACCCAGAATCAGCACTTTAGTAACAAGGCTGAAATAGAGGGGTATGAGGCATGGCCACAATGGGTGATCTGTTTGGTACTATGAGCAAACACTTCAGAGACATTTTTCTAAAGATATGGCCCTATAATATATTGATCAAATATAGCATAATAGTTGAGCTTTAAAGTTGGGCAGAATTGATATTGAGAGCATCTACTACATTATTATGAGAAGACCCTGCCTTGCCCATTGGATACAGTTTTTTTGTTTTGTTTGTGACCTCTATAGGCAAGGGGACTATAAAAGACTTTTTGTCCCATGGCAAGCCTTTAATTGGCTTGATTTGTTAGTTGGGTCTGTTGTGATTGGTCAACTGCTTAGAGATGTCCCGCCTATCACGTACAATGTGTTGGAGCACTAGCCAAAAGAAGCCCGAGTGTTGCATAGTGATGTCAGTATCTTACTGAAGTAAACAAAGGAGTCCAATGGAGGCGTTTCAGGCAGGTGGGGTGGGGGTATATGGAAGGTAGGTTGAATAATACAGAAGAAACCCAATTGTAAGTGTTTTATCAATCTCTCCATTTATCGATATCCAACATGTTGTTTCCCTCCCATCCACCCCTTTTACTTTTCTACACTGTTGTTATGCACCATAAGGCTTTTAGTGATACGCTTATAGACAGACGGTAGGACATATGGCCTTTACAGTGAAAGAACAAAGTGCTATAGCATCAGCGGTTAGCTGGAGTTGTATAAAGAGGAACAGAAGTAGTGATGCTGTATATTTTCTTATGAATTGCTTTCACTCTGACCATTTTGTGCCCGTTATATTTAAGTCAATCTATGAACTGGATGTTATGTAATACTGACAAAACCATGAGACTTTCTTTTGAATATATAGAAGTTTTCACTTGGTGCCATTAGAGATCTGCTAGCAGACTACGTAGGAAGCCTCCTGCTGTTTCTTGTGCCTAACATGTGGGCATTTCACACAGCAACACATGCACAAAAGCTGCTCACTGAATCAAAGGAATACACTGACTGACAGGAACAAATGTACAGATGTAAAAATAAAAATAAAAATGTCTCTTTAAGAAGATGATCAATTGGCTATCATTTGATTTAAAAACCTTTCCATTAGAGTTTGTAAGATATGCACTAATTATATGACTTTGTTAAAATGACAGAATTCAGATCATTCATATCAGATCATAGTTTTTCACTATAATCACTGTTCACTTGTTTTCACATATGTCTCCAACAAATGTTTGTTTCTAATCAAAAAGTAAGGTAAAGTGATTCCAGTATGTTTAGCGGAATTTTATTTTGACTAGTGAGAATGGGTTAAAATACCCTTTGCTACTAGAATACAAATTTATTGTGTTTTTCACAATTTGATGAATGTCAGGATAAGATCGTGTATGTCTACCACTATGACCAGGATGTTGTGACATCAAATGTTCATATTGCCTATGCCTCTGTCGGCATTTGCTCTTTTTCTGCTAGCTGACATTTAAAGTTTTTTTTTCACGTTATATTCCTTTAAGTCGTTGTATTCCTTTAAAATCAAATACCATCAACTTGATATCAATTCAGTACAATTCTCCTGAAAACTGGCTGCGGACATCACGTTAAAGCAGAGGATATATGTACATTTTGCCTTCCTAAAGACAATGTACATATATTGGAACCTCGTCGGGAAAGAGAAGGTCAACTGGGACCGGAGGATGGACGGAACAATGGATGGAAAAAAGAAGGTCAGATGGAGGTTACATGGCTACTTACAAACAGAAAACATGGAGGAAAAACCAAGAGTTTTAGCGTCCTGAAAGCCGCCTTGAAACAATGGAGGGATGGGAAAAGAACAGAAATACGATTGTTAATGATTGAAAAAAAGGAAGAGACAGAGAGGAAATATCCAAGTAATTACGATATCAAGAGATTGCCATAAAGACGATAGTAGCGCAGGTCGAAGAGGTTTTTATTTTTACTTTTAGATCAAATGCTGCCTCCACTTGATCTGTAATATGCTTTAATCTTTTCAAATAACTGCTTGATTATGAGCACATGATATACACCCATAAATGTTGAATAGGATATATTATGCTCATTTTCAGGTTAATATTTGTATTTAGTACCTCTACTGTGACATGTCTCCATGCTTTTAATGTTCAAAAAGCTCTTTACTTCTCTCATACTGCCTGTGCTGCAGCACCTCTTTTCACCCTCTGTCTGAGGTG